GGGGGACTGCACCGCCCCCTAGTGGCCACAGCCATTTATTTCTGAGCTTAATGAAGCCGGCCAGGGTTTTATGTAAGCTTCTCCACCCTCTCAGAGGCCACTGTTTTGCATAATTCCAATGGCATCCAGCCCCAACCAAGTGGTCCACTCACAGCGCTCAATCCTGGCAGTCTGTCTGGAGACATATCCTCTAGAGAGTTAATATCATGACAGACCAAGAACCAAAGAATTACCCTATGACCTCACTATTATTTGGCCAAAAGATTTATAATCATTTTATTAAATCAATGTTGCCCAAATTCTATTAAGAAAACCTGAGCAGATCTATGATTCTCCAGCAAATGTTTTATCCTTTTGTTCTGGTTATTTTTTGTTTTGGTTTTGGTTTTGTTTTCCAGTCCTGGGGTTTGAACTCTGGGCCTGGGCACTGTCCCTGAGCTTCTTTTGCTCAAGACTAACACTCTACCACTTGACCCAGAGCAACACTTCTGGCTTTTTCTGTTTATGTGGTACTGAGGAATGGAACCCAGGGCTTCGTGCATGCTAGGCATGCACTCGACCACTGAGCCACCTTCCCAGGCCTCTGTTTTTTGCTTTGTAATTAATATGTACTGATTGCAGGACAGGGCTTTCGCTGAGATGTTTCCATACAGGCTTATGAGGAATCACAAGCTCACCTCCTTCCCTCTCCCTTGGTCTCCTTTGTTGTTCTTCCTTCGGGTTTTGGTTTGTTTGTTCTTTGTGCCCAAACCAGGGCTTGAAGTCATGGCCTGGGCACTGTCCCTACACTTGATCACTCGTGATTGGTCCTCTACAACTTGAGTCACACCTCCATTTCTGGCCTTTTAGTGATTAGTTTTAGATGACTTGCACAGATTTCCTGCCTGTGCTGGCTTTGAATCTCCATCCTCACATCTCGGCCTCTGGAGTAGCTCAGATTACAGGCATGAGCCAGGGACACCAGCCTGGGTGTATGTCTGTCTGGAACACAAATTAAATTTGCTAAGAGGGAAGAGGGTGGCCAATGGATGCTGGATAGGAAAAGAAGGATCATCAGCAGAGGGACTTGGCGGAAGTGTGGTGGAAGCCATTCCTGTCCTCAGGACAGCACCGTTCCTAGGTGCTGTGTACGTGTGTGCTCATGAAATAGTTAAACTATTGGTGAGTGAGGAAGAAAGTGCTGCAGCCCATCGGCTGCCCGGGGCCAGGCCTGCAGGGAGGGGACAGAAGCAGCCATTGTGGGGTCCTGGTTGGTTGGGGCTGTGGGAGGAAATCTCAGGGATAATCAGCTGGGAACGTATCCTTTGGCCTCTGACAAAATGCAAGCATTCTAAATCTCCTCTCACTGGACAGCCAGCCTCTGCGGGCTTAAACAGGAAGCCCGGACAAACTTATTTGCATGTAAATAGCGTGGAAGAACAGAAGCAGCTCGGAAAATGCGAACCCAGGTGGTGAACTTGCACTGGAAGCCATTCCTAGATGAATCACCAAGAAGCTGTGACCTTCCCACTCAGGTCAGACAAAGCGAGCTGAGTTCTAGCCCCACTCCTGGATGACAACCAGAGAACGACTGCAAAAAATGGGGGCGGGGGGGCGTGGTCTCCGCCCCACAGCAGCAGCTCAGGTCTGCAATCACAGCTCCTCCGGAGCCTGAGATACCAAGGCAGCCTGGGAAGACTGTGTGGAAAAAGGAGGAAGGAGAAAGAAAGAGGAGGAAGGGGAGAAAGAGAGGGTGGGAGAGGCCAGTGGGAGGGACCAGAGATCTACTTCCCCGTGGTGGACACACACACGGCTCCACAAAAGCCAGCACCACACCTGTAAGGCGTGCCCGCCAGGTGAGCTGCGTGGAGACACGCCCCAGGGGCGTGCTCGTCCACCGGAGGAGAAAAGCGAAATTCCCTGGCCTCTTGCTTTCCTGAATTTCGACATGGAGGAGGAGAGGATCGAGATTCCCAAAGCTGGTGATGCTGAACTTCCCCTTTGCTGCCCAGCTCGGAGCAAAGCGGGAGCAGCAGGCTCAGAAGCAGAGCTGGGTTGCGTCTTCCCATTGTCACCTCTGGGCCTCTCTTTCCTCCATTCCCCACCCTGGTTGCTCCTCCTCATCCAGTGAACTAATGTGCTCAGACCCAGGAGCACACCATATACATGCATGCACACACACACATCCACACGCTTACACATCCACACACCCCACATCCACATACATCCACACATATCCACACACCCCACATACACACAGGGTTATTTTTGCCCAGAAGAGATGGTTCTGCAAAGACATTGCATTAATTACCACATTAATTTCCCATCCCGGGAAAAGCTCAGCAAACCCGAAAAGCTTCCTGCAGGCAAACACCTGTGCAGCCCAGTGGCAGACTGGGCTCCGGGTTAGGGAGGCAGCAAGGGAGCTGGAAAGCACCCAGCGCTGGCTTCCGTGCAGGTGTGGGGTGTAATTGGGTGTTAATTGGGTAGCAGGTGGAGGCTCACAGGGTGCAGGGAGCCGCAGAGTAAGGAGGGCAGAGGCAGACTGCCGTAGCCTAATTTGAAAGAGTGGAATTTTCCTTCTCCTCTCTTTGGTCACAGGAGAAACGGGCCACACACGGCCGCTCTGTGTGCCCAGCCCTGTGTTGCACTTCTGCGAGGTGGGCAGCTGTGAGGATCTAGCCTTTTATGAACACAAAAGCCAACCTGGGTGCTGCTGGCTCATGTCTGTCATCCCAGCTACTCAGGGGGCTGAGAGCTGAGGGTCGCAGTTCAAAGCCAGCCTAGGCAGACAACTCTGGGAGACATGGCCTCGGGTGAACCACCAAAAAGCAGGAAGTGGAGCTGTGGCTCAGGTGGCAGGGCACCAATGTTGAGCAAAAAAGCTAGAGGACAGCATTCCAGCCGTTAGTTCAAGCCTCAATACCAACCCAAACAAAGAGAGAGAGAGAGAGAAAAAAGCTTGTGCAGGACTGGGTTGTAGCTCAGGGCCAAAGCAGTGCCCAGCACGTGCCAGGCCCTGGGTTCTATTCCCCGTGACACACACACACAATCATAAACCAATATTTTCATGACATATGATAAAAACGGACTTACTTGAAAAAAACAATTTTCTCTCGCACAAAATACAGTGGAACAGGATGGCTACAGAACATATGACTCACTTCCAGCGGAGGTGGAGGTGGTGTTGACAGCCAAACACAATTGAAAAACACCCCGTGCATGCGGTTCAGGGGTCTCTGCGTGCCTCTGTGCATCTTGGGAAAGGGGCCTGGCCCCATCGGAGCTGGAGTTTGGCAGATGTATTTGATCAGAGACTACGATTCTCACAAAACAAGAAGCCACTAAATTGTGTGGGTGTCAGGTGCGTCCCATCATGGTGTGTTAGGCTACTCGAGGAATCTTTCGATTAACCCAAGACGTAAGTCTCAGTCTCAGCAACCCCTAGGAGCCCGTCCAGTGCAGCTCTGAGGACAGCATACTCCGGCTGGGACTATGGAAGCGAAGAGTGAGATGTGGTCACTCAGAGGGTAACACACAGTCAGGTGTGAACAAAATGGCATCGGACAAAACTGCCTTAAAAGAATGTAAAGGGGGCTGGGAAGGAGGCTCCGTGGTAGAGCGCTTGCCTTCCCTGCATGAGGCCCTGGATTCCATTCCTCAGCACCACATAAGCAGAAAAAGCCGGAAGTGGTGCTGTGGCTCAAGTGGTAGAGTGCTAGCCTTGAGCTGAAGAGCTGAGGGACAGCTAGAGTTCAGGCCCCACAATCAACAACAACAACAATTTAAAAGATGCTGGGTGGTGGGTGGTGGGTAAAAGATGCTGGGTGATGGGTAGCTACTCAGGAAGCTGAGATCTGAGGATTACAGTTCAAAGCCCAGGCAAGAAAGTCTGTGAGATTCATCTCCAATTAACCAGCAAAAAGCCAGAAGTACAGCTATGGCTCAAATAGTATAGTACAAGCCTTGAGGGGGGAAAAAAAGCTAAGAGACAGCATCCAGGCCCCAAGTTCAAGCCTCAGTACCAGAATACACACACACACCACACACATGATTGAGCTCATTTTTATCCAGGGATGGAAGGATGGTTCGATATATGCAAATCAACACACATAATAGAGCATATAATCAGAATAAAAGACAAACTCACATAATTATCTCAATAAATGAAGAAAAATCCTATGACAAAATTCAACATCCCTTCATAAGAAAAGCACTGAGGAGATCAGGAATGGAAGCGTAAGACTATAGGCAGCATCATACACAATGGGGGAAATCTGAAAATGTTCTATACTTAAAAAGCCCTATGCTGGATGCCAGTGACTCACACTTGTAATCCTAGCTACTCAAGAGGCTGAGATCTGAGAATCGCAGTTCCAAGCCAGACCAGGCAGGAAAGTTTGTGATACTCTTATCTCCAATATACCATCAAAAAGCCAGAAGTGGCGCTGTGGCTCAAGTGGTAGAGCACTAGCCTTAAGCTGAAGAGCTGAGGGACAGCATCCAGGCCCAGAGTTCAAGCCTCAGTACTGACACAAGCATACGCACACACACACACACAATCCCAATGCTATTCTTCACAAGCTCATCTTAGTCAGTGTGGAAACTGATATACAAAGCTGGAAGTAACTTGGCCAAGGGAACACAGACAGGAATAGAATTCTGTCACTTCTATCCACATTGCTGGCCACTCAGCCTAACCACATGCAACCATGGTACTGAAGATCAGCTATAACCATGGGGATGGCCAGGGTGATGATGGTAATAGTGGTGGTGCTGATGGTGATGATGGTTCTGACAATGGTGTTGATGGTAATGATAACAGTGATGCTGGTGATGGTGATGATGATGATTGATGATGGTGGTGATGATGATGGTGGTGATGATGATGATGATCATCATCATCATCAGTGATGGCAGTGGTGATGATGATGGTGGTGATGATAATAATGGTGGTGGTGATGATGAAGGTAGCGGTGATGATGATGATGGTGGTGATGATGATGGTGATGATGATGATGATGATCATCATCATCATCAGTGATGGCAGTGGAGATGATGAGGGTGGTGGTGATGATGATGATGGTGGTGGTGATGATGAGGGTGGCGGTGATGATGATGATGGTAGTGGTGATGGACAGGAAGAGGAGGACAAGGATTAAAGTATGTTAGGAACTCAGTTACTGAATTCAGTCCTCCTGTTCTGGGAACAGAAACAGGACAATGTTAACAATGAACACAAGAGGGACCTGTCACACCAGCCTAGAGGAACAAAGAGATGATTTCCAGGGAGCCACCCACTCCTGAGTCCCAGGAGAGACAGGCCTGCGGCAGAGACGCCACGCCCACACAGCCCTGTAGAGCTGCTGTATTCAATCCAGTGTTCTCACAGCCGCCGGTAAGCTGCTGCTCACAATTATATGAGTCTGTTAATAAGGAATTAAGATACAGACTTCTATTGTCTTCAAGAAAACAATGCGTGTTTAATCAGCCACGATTTTATATTTTTATTTAGACTTGTTTTTTTTATAGATTAAGTACAGACACTTAATTTTCATGAAAAAAAAATCAAGTAAACCATCCAGGACACCCACTGCGAGTGGAAACGGGGCTTCTGCCCCCCCTCCCTTTCCCCTCCCTCACGCCAAGGTGGCCAACGGCGGCCACTGCATTCCCAGAGGAGCCGGAGGTCCTGGGTGGGAGCGCGGAAGGAATCCAGGCTTCCCAGAGAAGGGGAGTCGAATGAGAAACAGATGGGCTCCAATTTCTAAACCGGAAACACTTTTTGTTCCTCATGGGGGTTGGTTGTTTACTGGCTGTAATCTGACCCCAAAACAGGAGGCAGAGTCCAAAGGGCTGCAAGCCAGGCCTGGACATCAGGGACTAGAAGTGAGTCCGGTGAACCCCGCCAGCCTGGGCAGAGAGTGGGAGGCGCTGGGCCGTGTTCCACCCAACTTGGCCCTGGTTCAGGATGACCAGCAGTGCCTTCCAGCTACGGCCTTGTTTCTGGCTGTCTGAGCCTCTGGCTTGGAGAAGCAGCCGTGGCTGGGGCTGTGTGTGGGGCCTTCAGAGCCAGGCTCTGTGGGGCTGAGTGCAAAGGCTATGGATGCGGAATGTAGCCGGCGGGGGACTTGGGTTCTGAAGGCAAGAATCCACATCTTCCGAGTTCCAGTGCCGGTGTATGTGGTGTACGTGCACATGCGCACAAGAACATATGCGCTCTACCACTTGAGCCGGCGCAGTTCCACTTCTGGCTTCCTGGTGGTTAATTAGAGATAAGAGCCTTAATGGACTTTCCTGCCTGGGCTGGCTTTGAACCGTGATCCCCCAATCTCAACCTCCTGAGTAGCTAGGATTGGAGGCGTGAGCCACCGGCACCCTGCTCACAGGGTCAAGACTCCCAAGTAACAGGGCAGCTCCTAGATAAGTCCTTCAAGATGTGGTTCTAGAAAACACTAAACCCAAAAACAAAACCACAATACCTTTGCCAGACCTTAAAAATGAATCAATATTCCATCAGTGTTTAAATTGGTAGAGGACTTGTGTTTGTTTTGGCTACTACCATATAAAGCTTGGTGTTCAGAACAATGCCTAGCACACCTTGCTGCTGGATGCAGGAAAGAACACTTGGAACTTACGTAACAGAACAATTCTTCTTCCTCCTCCTCCTCCTCCTCCTCCTCCTCCTCCTCCTCCCCCTCTTCGTCATCATTTCTTCTTCTTCCTCCTCCTCCTCCTCCTCCTCCTTGTGGTTTGCTGGAGATAAAGGCTGAATGGGGGGGGGCGGGAGGAATCCATCCTCCAGCCTTTGCTCCTCCCTCCCTCCCTCCAGCCTCCCTCCTCACCTCCCATCCGGCCTCACCTGTGCAGCCAGCTTGCTGGGGTGGAAGGGCAGCGGGCACTCGCAAGCCGGTGGGCAGGGTGCACACTCGGATGAAGAGCTCTTCCTCTCTTCCAGCTTCATGTCCAGTGCACAACCGAGAGTCCTTGCACCGAAGGAAGCCGTTATGGAGGCCCCCCTCCCTCCTGCCCCCGCCTGTGCCTCTCCCTCCAGGCCTCTGCCCCACCCCTGCCCTCCGGAGCCTGGGAGCCCTTCTAACCCCTTCAGTAAGAGCGAGGGACAGCTGTGGGGGGCTTCCACCTGGCTTCGTCCTCTGTGATGGGCCCAGGAGGTTGGAAGTTTCCAGGCATTTCAGGACAGCCACTACGTTCGCTCCTCATGCACACTGGTAGAGGTGGGGGTGCTGGGTACCTCATCACAGGAGGCTCCCGATTTCCTTATCCCGGAAAGGAGGTGGGTGACACCAGGGGCTGATCCCTGCCTGTCCCGCCCCCCCCATGCTCTTCTCACACATTAACATGAGAGTGAAGAAATGCATGAGCGAACAAATGAATGTGAGGGTGAGCTAGCCAGGAGCCAGCGGCTCACACCTGTGAACCTTGAGCCACACACCCAGCCCAATGCTTTGTTTTCTCTCTCTCTCTCTCTCTCTCTCTCTCTCTCTCTCTCTCTCTCTCTCTCTCTCTCTCTCTCTGCCAGTCATGGGGGCTGAACTCTGGGCCTGGGCGCTGTCCCTCAGCTCTTCAGCTCAAGGCTAGCGCTCTACCACTTGAGCCACAGCTCCACTTCCAGCTTTTTTCTTTTTGCTTATGTGGTGCTGAGGAATCAAACCCAGGGCCTCGTGCATGCAAGGCAAGTACTCTACCACTGAGCCACCTTCCCAGGCTCACAGTATCTCTTTTAAATAAATAAATAAATTGATAACATCTTAGAATGGACCGCTTTTGGATGCACTGAGGATGCAATTTTGGTCCCATAAGGACTGGGACTGCATCTGGGGCACAGTTGGCAGGGGCTGTAAGAGATGCTCTCTGCTCGCTTTTCAAACAGATGCAGACGAGGACTGTGTGGGCCTCCTTCATGTGTGGCTCCAAATGGCTTGCTTTACTTCTGAACAGACTGACCAAAGATCATCTCGACCCGAGCATACACCAGTCCTGGGGAGGAGGTGAGCAGAAGTGTGCCAGCGGGAGGAGGAAGCGAGCAAGCGGAAGACTGCCGAGCCATCACCTGTCCAGGCGCGACGGGCTGTAAATGATTGAAGACAGTACGTCCTAGTGGGAAGCTGTCTGGTGAAGTGAAGCCATTCCTGTACGTCACCTGAGGTGCATTCAGCGATGGGTAACCCTCCGAGTCCTCTGGCCACCCCGATCGAGTTCCAAGTCCATCCAGGAGACTGGCTGATAAAGGAAAAGGCAAGGTTGATATCCTGAGTTAATCAATGCTGGCCTCCGCGGGCCAGTCCATCTGGGAAACTAACTGGGCCACTTGGCCTGACTGTGCTGTGCAGCCCAGGACGACATCGGAATGCTCCTCTCTGCCCTGAAGAAGCAGGAAATGCAATCAGCAGCCTGTTACTTGGCCTAAAGAAGAGAACATGGGACAGCCAGAGCTCCGGTTCCCAGCGGCCGGTCAGCCCTCCAATCAAGGGCCCCCCAGCTTCCCACACTGCTTCAAGATAAGCTCAGAGGAACACGTGTGGTCAGCTTGAGCACCAGCTGTGGCCTGGCTCTGAGGAAGAGTGTGAGTTCGTCACCGGAAGAAAGGGACATCCCTGAAAACAAAGGCGAGCGGAACAGAATTGCAAATACTGACAGTGCGCTCTTCTCCACGGAGAGGTTTAAAACTAATCACTTGCAGGGCGCTGGTGGCTCACACCTGTAAACTAGCTACTGAGATCTGAGGGTGGAGGTTCAAAGCCAGCCTGGGCAGACAAATCCAACAGACTCTTACCTCTAATTAGCCAGCAAAATGTCAGCGTGTCTGCTCAAGCACACACGTGCACAGGCGCACAGGCACACATGTGTGTGCATGCGCGTGCATGCGTGCACACACACAGACACACACACCACACACACACACACACACACACACACCACCTCTCTTCCTGCTTTAAGTCTGCCCAACACCCCCCCCCTCCCAACCAGCCTCCAGCCAGCCTTGCTCCGGTTCCAGTGCATGCCCCTCAGGCAAACCTCGCAGGACTGGCTTCAGGGAGACTTAAACTATCGGAGGCATGAGAAGAACCCAGCTGTCCCTGTGCTATCAAGAACTTCACCCACAGAGGACACAGCTACAGGAGAGGCTCGCGGTGCCCTGGAAGTCGGCGGAAGGCCTGCCTCCATGCGCTAGCCGCCGGGACAAGGGCCGGGTGGGCTTAGATTCCACGTGTGCCATGTGCGGAGAGAAAACATAAAAGCTGCTCTGGCTGGGCCCTGTGAATTTACTGAAAAGCTCCCCCTGCCCCCCGCCCCGACTTTGAATCTGTGCCTTTGATCTGAGAGGATTTCTGCTGTAGTCACCGCTGCAATCACCTCGGGCTCCAAGAAAGAGCAGATTCACAGGCATCCATCTGTCTCGTGTGGAAGACACACAGCCTCAAACAAGCAAAGTCTGCTTCTTATCATCTTAAAGGAAACAACCAAAGACTTAGAAGGTCGCCTTGCTCCTGATCTGTTCCAGTAACAGTAATAACAACGTCCCCAGAATTCCTCCAGGACAAAGACTGAGCTGACTGCCACCAGGCCGTACCTGAAGCCGGGGCTGTGTGCACTCTGCAGACCTTTCTCCTCCCCTGCCCCCAATTCTCCCTATTTAACCTGAGGCCGATGTCTGCACCCCCAAAGACTGCTGAGGGTGTGCTCAAGTGCTGTCTCCCCAAGGCTGCTGGGTAATAACTTTCTTTTCTGCCCTTTACCATGTCTCTTCTTTATTTGGCATAAGGGGACAAGCGGTTGGGGCTACTGTGGGACTCCTGGACTTCGGGCCTGGGTGTAAGATCCCAGTTTCACGAGCAAGGAAAGCGATGGAGCCAGGCCTGGCCTTTAAAAGGAGCCAGAAGGAAGGGGTCTGGGCAGAAGGAGCTGCATGAATGGGGAGTGGCCTTTTCCAAAGAGGAACAGGCCAGCACAATCCCTCACTCACTTCCTGCCCCACCCTGCCACCATCTCCTCCTCTTAACCCCAGTCTGGTAGTTGAGCACGTTTCTCCTGGATTTGTTTTTTTCAGGCCATGGGGCTGGAACTCTGGGCCTGGGCGCTGTCCCTCAGCTCTTCAGCTCAAG